TCCGCATGCTTCGTCAACTGGCTGTTGGAGGCACCTCTTGGGTGCTTCTTGGGGGGGCGTCTGAGGGTCCCTTGGGGGCATCGGTTCTGCAATCTGAAGCCGTCATTGGCCGTCTTGGCTGCGTGGAGGCCCGACTTGAGGCCACCTGCGGCCAGATTGAGGCAATCCGGAAGCCTCCCAGGGGCCTCCTGGAAGCAGTTTTGACGCATCGAGGGCACTCTTGGGCTATTTGAAAGCCTCTTGGACGTCTCCTGGTGGCCTTTTAGGCCCTCGGGGAAGCTTTTGGGGTCCTCGTCGGACCACTTGGGGGCCTCTTGCGGCCTCCTGTGGGCCTTGTGGGGGGACCGCTCTGCTGTTGGGTCGCGTTCCCCTTGGGCCTCTCTTGGGGCTCTTGGGGCCCTCTCGGGCCGTCTTGGGCGCCTCAAGCACCGTCTTGGGGCCCTCGCGGGCCGTCTTGGGGGGCCCTCTTGGAGGCCTCTTCCTCTATATGATGGGAGCGGTATTGGAAGCCTTTGGGGCCGTCTTGGAGCATCGGGATGCCAAAAGGCAGAAAAAAAACGTCAAAGCCCAATCGTAAAACAATGTGTTGTGCCTCTTGGGGCCACCTTGGGAGATCTCTTGGAACCTCGTCGGCCCTCTTGGGAGCTTCTTGGGGGCCTCTTGGATCCGATTGGGGGCCTCTTGGGACTTCCGGAGACCCTCTCGGGGTAGAAAGCTCGAATTCTCGGTTCGTGTTTCCCTTCTTGGGCCTCTCTTGGGGCCGTCTTGGGGCCCTCTCGGGCCGTCTTGGGAGCCTCAGGCACAGCCTTGGGGCCCTCGTGGGCCGCCCAGGGCCCTCTTGGAAGCCTCTTCGGCTATCTTGGAGCTGTCTGGGAGGCCTCTTCCTCCTCCTCGTCCCCCTCCTCCTCCTCCCACTCCAGCTCTCTCTCCTCCTGATCTTCCTCCTCCTGCAGCGTGTTCCGGAAGGCTCCCGCCGGAACATGCTGTGCGCAAGTGCTGTCACTGCAGCCGCCACCGTGCCCTGGGTGGTGGGTCAGAGGCCTCATGGGTGTTGCTTTGGATCTCGTGGTTGGCCTGTCGGGGACGTCGTGAAGGCAGTTTCGCAGCTTCTCGGTAGCCGTTTTGGGACCGTTGTGGGGCCTCCTCGGGGCTGTTTTGTGGCCTCTGTAGGCCTCGTTTGGGCCTCCTGGGTGCCTGTTGGGGGCATCCTTGGGCCTCTTGGGGGCTCCTTGTGGCCTCCTGGGGCACTCTTCAAGCCGGAGGGTCGAATTTGGGAGTCGTGGTCCCCCTCTTGGGCGCATCTTGGGGCCGTCTTGGGGCTCTGTTGGGCTGTCTTGGGCGACTCTGGGGCCGTCTTGGGGCCCTCTTGGGCCGTCTTGGGGCGCTCTTGGGGGCCTATTGAGCCATCTTGGAACGTCGGACAGCCGAAAAGGCTGGAAGGCCAAAATCGGTCGAAAACCTTCGTAAAATTGACGATTTCGGCCTCTGGAAGCGCTCTGGAGAGGCGTCTTGAAGCGTCGTGGAGTGCCTTGGGGCGCCTCTCGGGCCGTCTTGGGCCTATCTTGGGCGTCCTGGAGCGGTCTTTCGGCGACTCGGGGCCCGCTTGGGCCGTCTTGGGAGCCTCTGGAGGCCCTCCTGGCCCATGGGGGGTCGGAGGCGGCGGCCTCCGAGGCCCAGGACGCGGAAACCCTGTAAAAACACATGGAAAATGAGCCCCCATCCCCCCATGGGGGGTGGGGGCACCTGTTTGTGGCCCCCCGGCCTCGCCCCCAGGGACATATATATATATATATATATATATATATATATATGTGTGTGTAAATTTAATAATAAGAACCATCATCATAAGGCCGACGTTTTAAAACAAAACTGCCTCATACAAACACATTCTAAGAACAATTCGTGCAAACCATAAAACGTTTTATTCGCCGGCCGGCCCCTTGCTGCTCCCTGAGCAAATTCTAAATTCCAATTTCCAATGTGATGGTTCTACTTTCTGCTTCCAACTGGAAGCGGTTGAAGTCCGAACACGGAGATAAGCCCAAAACCACCCTACACCACGCCCTCGGGGTGGTCTCAGAATTCCTGGGGGGTCGTAAGAAACGTAGCAATACATGAGAATCGCGCCCCCGAGACAATCAACCCTCAGAACGCGATGTTCGCGTCGCCGAGGCCATACCCCCTCGTAGATTACGCGGTCTTTACGTTCCCAAGGCCTAAGCCCTCATAAGTCACGCGGTAGTCACGTTCCTAAAACTATTCTCCTTCTGAAAGTGTACGATACTTGCGTCCCCTCAGCCAGACTCCCTTGGTAATGATACACTATATCTTTCTCCGAAGCGATAAAGCTTACAATATTCGCTGTGAATTACATGATATTACGCCCCGAAACCATACACTCTAACAAGTTACACCATATACGCGTCCCCGAGGCCACCACCACTGGTGAATTACGCAAGGCTCGGGCCGACACCACGGCATCTAATGAATTACGCAGTGTTCGCGCCCTCGAGGCAACGGTTCCTATAAATTCATCCATGATCGCGTCCCCGAAGCTACGGTCCCTTGTGAATAAAATGCCAGGGAACCCAGTGGGGATGCGCGATAAAGATGCACGGGCTTTGCAGGTCCATGTCGACATTCTGCGACCGGGGCGCGGCCAACGAAAGCCTTGGAAAGTTGCTCATCCTTACTTTGCGCGTTAACTGTAGCACACCTCCTGAATACCATCGAGCCCAAACCCCACGCCAGCCAGCCACAGCTGGGGGAACTGTGCTCGATTGACCCCCCTGCGAGGAGCCCATCTTACGGACGAGCTCTTGAGAGCGGAGTCGACGCCGATGGGCCCCCCAGGAGGGCAGCCGGCACTCGAAGGAGGACCAATTGAGATAACGGCGGCTCCCCCACCAGGGGGGTAATCGGTAATCGGATGAGGGCGAATCGAAACAACAGCGGCTCCCCCGCCAGGCCCAACTCCGCTCAAGACCGGTCCATCCGGACACCTCCTGTTAGAAAGCAACTCGCGAAGGTCTTGGTTGGTGGTCGCATGGCGCCCAATGGCGCGCCCAATCGGGTGCAGAGCGGGCATAATGCGTCTCCTCACGTGGCGGTATTCGGCACCATGGGGCGCTACTGGTAGCTCTCGGGCGCTTTTAGAGCACTATTCGGCGCTATTGAAGCAGCGCTACGGGGCGCGACTCAGCGATATACATTCGATCCAACACGAACGGAAGCTTCAGTGATCTACTATCTCGATCCCGTAATCCACCTTGGGGAAACCAACAGGCACCGATACCGGTGGACCTCTCCTGGGGCGCGTTCTGACCAAGATTTCGAGGCGAACCCAGCGGAGGCGACGAGGGCCGCCCAGGAGGCCCAGGGAAGGAGCATGGGTACCACTGCCTCCTCTGAGTCTGGACTCCAGAGCCCATCTCGACCTGTTCTCCGACAAGCATCCAGCAGTGGCGACGAGAGGCCTCCGGGAGGCCCAGGAAGGAGGAGCACACGCCCAGGGAGGGCCGCCGCTGCCTCGACGGGCCATGCGCGGAGGTGGGACCCCCGACGTCCTCCGAGCCGACCTGATTCCATCCGCGGCCCTGGAGCCCTTCTCGGCAGCGGGCGAGGGGGGGAAGTGGCAAGGAGAAGGCCTCCTCAGAAGGCGGCGGGACTTCTCAGAAGCCCTCGCGCCTTCCGAGGAATTGTGTGTGTCTTCGGGGGAGGCGTAGAAACTTCTCAGAAGGCCTGGGGCATCCCGAGCCTTCTGAGAAGGGCCTCCCTTTCGTGCTTCCTCCCCGGCTCGCCGCCGATGTTTGACCCCTTCCACATGGCCAAGTTTGCGCCCTGGATTCATTTTCGGTGGCCCTGGGGCCCGATGGCCTGGAGGCCGAACTCAAACAAGAACACTGCAGGATTCAAGGCATCAAATCCTCTGGGATCTTGCTCGCGGGGCTGGCGCAGCTGGGCCCGCGGGAAGAGGTGCAACAGTAATTGCAACAGTGGGTGCCTGGATGCAACAGCTTGCGCGCTGGATGCATTAGTTGCAGGTGAATGCAGTTGTGTATCGTGTTCCCCCTGCAGCACTTGCTGCCTGTGTAATAGTGCGTGGTCCCCCCCGCCCCGCCGCTGTTGCGTACTATTGCGTGCAGTAGTGCGCCATCACAGAACGACTGCACCTCTCGCCGCCGACTCTTCTGCAGGGACATCAAGCGGCCACAGCCACATCAAGGACACACTCTTGGGGGATACCCATGACATGTCAGCAATCGTCAGAACACCGAAGCCAGCTACATAAGTGCTGATTATCTTCGATGTGGCGTCCTGGAACGGCCAACAACTACGCCACAACCACAACCAAGGTGATCATGCTGAGTTCGGTGGGTTCTTCTTCCCCGACGGGGCCCTCCCGAAGAATCCTCCATTTGGTTGTGGTTGTGGCTCTATGTTGTGCCTGGACCATTTGCGCCAGACCCACTATACTCCAGCTTTCTGGTCCCTGTTCCATGGGAGCCTACGTGCCCCCCTGCGCTGTCCGATGTAGGCGTGATTTGGACCAGGATTGGAACACACTTGGGACCGGACGTGGAGCGGATTCGCGGAGGAGGAGGAGCGGCGCGGAGGATGAGGAGGAAGGGCCAAAGGTGGTCCAAAACCAGGAGCCGCTGATTTCAACGTCGCCGCCGAAGGCTCCCAGGAACAGGCATCGAACAACTTAGATTGGCGGTGCGCACAAGGGGGTAGGAGGGGGGGGGAAATGCTTCTTAGAAGGAGGGTCGCTCCTTAGAAGGCGCCGACCTGCATTTACAGATCAGGCCCGCGCCTTCCAAGAAGCAGTCTCCTTCTAAGAAACCTGCCCCCCTCCCCCCATATACCATACCCCCCTCTGCGCGTAACCACCCTCTGCGCGTAATGAGCGGATTGGACCTTCCCTCTGAGAGCTGGGACCGCTGCTCCACCCGGCCGTGGCCCGCTACTGGCCGCGGCGAGGGACCGAGACGGCCCGCCTCGGGGAGCAGCTCCGCTAGCATGCCAGCGAGCTCCTCCACGCGCACCGCCTCGCCCGAGCAGACCTGGGGGCTTAGAGGAGGCGCAGGTGCTGAGGAGGAGCCCGAGAAAGAGCACAGTCGCACTTGATTGGGCAAGGCACCCGAGAAGACACAGGACTCATCCGACGGCAACGTGGCCCTAAGACACCAAAGGACATGTGGGCAGGACACAAGACAGGGCAGGACACAAGGGTACCCTCGATTTGGCACTGTCGACCTACCAGTCAGGGCCGACTGTAGGAGGGGAAGGAAGAGGGGCAGCTGGAGCAGGAGGAGGAGGATAAGGAGGTTGACCAGTGCTAACCAATAACGCATAAGTTGCCGCATAAGCGATGTTGCGAGGAGCCCACCCTCTAAGCACCCTCTTCACAAGTACCCACAAGAGTTCATGCTCATTGAGGGAAGCGCCCCATTGAAAGACAACTGTCTGAAATTCCTGAACCGTGCCAGAACACAATTCCTGGGACTTCAACGCCGCAAAAAAACGGTACTGTTGCGTCGGGACGATCCTGAATCGTGCCGGAACACCGATCCTGTGTTCAAAACCGAGATCGTGTTCTTTAATCCATTGGGGTAAAACATGTACCTGGGGTGGGGGAAAGGGGATTGGAGGGGGTAGCTGTAACGGCGGCTGGCGTGCACCCCCAAAGGCGCGCCCGCAACACAGGCGCAACGTGTTACGACAATGCCTGCATGCACCACAGCGCCTGTGTACAACACGGTGCCTCCGTTCACCCTAGCACCTGCTGCGCGAACCATGGCGCCACATCGCCTGTGTACACCATAGCGCCTCTGCGCACCTCAACAACCGCGTGCGCTAAAGTGATATTAGCTATTACACACCACCACAGTACCTGCGTTCACTGGACAATTGTTTGTACACCACGGCGCCTGCGTTTATCATACCAGCCGTGTGCAGCACACCGTGGCCGTACACAACCGCGCCTGCGTGGACCAGAGCACTTGTGTACACCACAGCACAGCGCCTGTCGACGCCACAGCACTTGCGCTAAACACCTCGCAATATAACGAAGAAGATGAGATCGATGAGAGGAGGAACGCTACGACGACGACGACGACGACGACGTCGACGACGACGACGACGACGACGACGACGACGACGACGACGACGACGACGACGACGACTACAACGACACCGACGCCGACGACGCCGACGACGCCGACGACGCCGACGCCGACGATGAGGACAACCATGACAATGCACCTTCGGAAGCCTCTGGGCCACGTTGGTTGTCGTCGTTTTCCTCCTATTCCTCATCCTCTTCCTCGTCCTCCTCCTTCCCCTTCTCGTCCTCCTCTTTTTTCTCCTCCTTCTCCTCCTCCTCATGAGAATGCCTACTCCGATGGAAACTGCAAGGATTCACGCCTGTGGCAGGTTCCCAGGCGATACCGTTACGGGGGGGGAGACATGGGGGATAACGTGTGGTACCCCAAGAACCCAGACAACAACACTCACACCGCCAATCAGCGTGACTGTTACGCCCTGAAGGTCCTACATCATTCTAATGCAGAACTTCTGGTCAACAATAAGACTCATTGAAACTGCTGGAAAGTCTTAAGACGAATACGCGGCGTTAAGGCGAGACCAACATGCAGGAAACCGCCCGCCCTCCATCCGTAAAACTCTTGAAATCCTAAAGGTGGTAGCAACATATGGGATTATCAAGCGAAACGCCCATCCCGACCTACCGACACGTCTCGGGATGCGACGCGGGAGAATTATTTGTAAGGAAAGGGACGGAACAATTGGACGGCAATTCATTTCCACCGTCTCATGAGCAGCCAAAATATCCGTGTTCGCGCCCTCGCGGTCTGGATTCCAGGGCGACCCCCCGCGGACACGCTGTCGCACGGAGGCGTTCCTCGCGGGGAATCTACAAACAAAATGCCCCCTATACACGGGGTCGCGGCCCAATGGTCCGGCCCGCGAGGCCGCGGATACGGACGTGTGTCCCCCACGGCCGTCTTCAAAAAACTGTCCCTTGGTCGTCGTGACAACGCAAGCAACAAGGTTCACCGAAACGGTCAAAGAAACGGTTCGCCGACACGGCCTGGGCCGTCCAGGGCTCCGAAGGACGTTCGGGACTAGTTCGAAAAGGGTACGGATCGGGCAAGCAAGCTGTGATCTGTACAGGGCCGCCACCAAGGGAGACGGAAAGTAAAACAGCGGCGCCCCAAACGGCCGCAACAACGGCGGCGCCCGAAACTGAACAACGAAAGAGGTACGATAAAACTGCGTTGACGTTTCCAGGGCCCACTAAGCCTGTGAGGACGACGAGATCCAAAATGTCCTCGTTTTCGACATCTCGGGCAATTTCCGGGCCGCGGGACAATCATAAATAGATCCGGGCGCAAAAACTTACCCCACCAGGGAAGCGGTCGGGAGATTTGGGTCCGCGGATAGAGAAAAACGCGCCGGTGGATGTCAAGGATTCGGGTGTTGCTAGACGTGTCCCCGGCCCAAGGTGCAGCCAAGCTTGCCAAGGCCCCCACGGCCTTCACAAGGGAGCGGAAGGCTGGGGCGCCGTGGGCCAGGGACACATGGGGCAACGCGATGGAGACCGACCGCAACCACTTCGGACCGATCGTCGACCACTTCGGGCTGATCACAACCAGTTGCGATCGGTCAGAATTGGTTGCGATGTTTTTGGGTCGCTTCAATAACGTTTCGATTAATGGGAGAGATCATACGAGCGCTTCTGGGTTCACTGAACTCCTGTAAGGCGCCCAGATGGGAATCCGAGAAAACGGTTGCGACCGGTCCGATCACCGACGGCCGATCATGATCTCAGCTAACCACATGTACTTTCGAGTCGAACGTGGCCACGATCCGTATAAGATTCCAACGTGATTATTGCACTCTTCTGTTCTACGGTTCCTATGTGCTTCGTAGACGTTTCCGATGTGATTCGTATACGATACCAATGTGATTCGTCTGAGGACTTCGCCAAAACCCTAAGAGGGTCTCTTCGGGAATCTGAGCAATTTCTACGGGTCCTACCAATTCCCAAATTCCTGGGAGGGCCTCCTAAGGAATCCGGAGAATTCCCAGGGATCCTACCACTCGCTAGACTCCTGAGAAGGATCCCTGAGGACTTTTAAAACATTCCCGCGGATCCTACCACTTCCCAGATTCCTGGGAGGGCCTCCGACTGACTCCGAGGAATTCCAATGGATCCTACCAATTCCCAGATTCCTGAGAGGGCTTCTGAGGAAATCCCTATGAAGTCCTACGGGTCCTACCAATTGCCAGATGCCTGGGAGGGCCGCCTAGGAAATCCTAGGAACTCCCCAAGGGTCCTACCACTTGTTCGAATGCCTCGGAGGGCTTCCTAAGGAAACATAAGCATCCCTAAGGATCCCACCAATTGCCGGATTCCTGAGGCTCTTCGGCAGTCCCAGGAATGCGACGGCATCCCACCAATTGCTCAGATTCATAGAAGGGCCTCCTCAGGACCCCTCTGGAACTCCATGGGATCCTTCCAATTGCCAGATTCCTGAGAGGACCTCCTGGGCAATTCTACGAATTCCTAAGGATGCCATCAATTTCCAGATTCCTGGGAAGGCCTTTTGGGGAATCTTATAACCTACTGGGGATCCTACAGATCACCAAGGTCTTGAGATGGCTGCGGAGGGGATCCTCGGAATTCCGAAGGCTCCTACCAATTCCCAAATTCCTGAGAGGGCCTCCGACAGCGTCCTAGGAATTCCTAATGATCCCACCAATTACCAAATGCCTGAGAGGGCCTCTCAGGGAACCCTAAGAATTGCTATGGACCTGACCAACTCCCACATTTCTGGAGTGGCCTCCTAGGAAGTAGTAGGAATTCCCTAGGACCATACCAAATGCCAGATCCCCGAGGGCCTCTTAGGGAATCATGCGGACTCCGGGCGATCCTGCCCAGGTACCTCAGAGGGCTAGCAACGGAGTCCTGAGAACCTCCATGGGCTGACTCCACGAATTGCCCAGATTCCAGAGAAGGCATTCTAAGGATGCCGAGGAATTCCGAAGGATCCGACCGATTGCCCAGATTCCTGGAAGGCCTCCCAAGGAATCCTGGGAGTTCCTCGGGATCCTTCCAAAGTCCAGATCCCTGCAAGGTCTTTAAGGGAATCCTGGGAACTCCTAGGGGCCCCACCCACTCCCACATTCCTGCGAGGGCCTCCTAAGCAATCCTGGGGACTCCTGAAGATCCTACCATGTTCCAGATTCCTGAAAAGACAAAGCCTCTCAGGGAATCCAGGGGGGTCCTAGGAATTCCTTCGGAAGCTCTGCATAAGCTCTGCGCAAACTCTGCAGAAGCTGGGCAGAAGCCCGGCAGAAGCTCTGCATAAGCTCTTCGGAAGCTCCGCTGAAGCTCTGCAGAAGCTCTGCTGAAGCTCTTCAGAAGTTCTTGGGTCGGGTTACGACCAGCCCGTTTCCAAAGGTTGAAGTATGACCGAAGTAGTTTCTGAACAGTCCGACGTGGTTATAATCGGTCTGATTCTCTTGTGGTAACCCCGAGACAAACTGAGACTGCCAGATGTGAACGGAAGAGAAAGCGTTCTTTCCCTTCACGCCCGATGAAGGTCAGGCGCAACGTCGAATCCAATACCTGAGACGAGAGGACAGCAGGATGGATGGATAGAAGGAGGAGAGGAGCGGTCTTCACACACCATTCGGTAGCGGCATCCGAACCCGATGTTACACCCAACCTGTACCAACCATCGACTCTTCTGAATCGATGGGAGGCGGGGGTCGAGTTCGGATTTCGCAGGAAGTGTCCGAGACGAATTCCGACCCCTACCCCCGCCGCCCATCGAGCTGCCTGAATCGTTCATCGGCGAAGGTAGGGTTTGGATCTAACCGGGCTCTGACAACGGTGTCGAGGGGGATCCAACCGTGGCTACCAGGGCTCTCCAGGACGAGCAGTGTCAGAGGTATCGACAAATCCCCGAAGTCGCAATTTCTGTCCACTACGTGCTCCCCAGGAGGACTGCACCCTTCCCGGGGACTGGGTTCTCATCCTGGGTCGCTTTCTGATGATCTCGAGACCCGGCGAGGGCCCCCCGAAACCGAAAATTGGGGAAAAACCTGCCGTCGAGGTTTCTGTCACGACGCGAAGGAGTCTGAGTCTTCCTGAGATCCGACGTCGCGAACAAAAATGCAACATTGGGAGAACTCACGACTGGAGAGCTCCAGGGCTGGAAACTGAGCGAAAACGCCTGGTGTGAAAAAAATGCGACGCCCAAATCTCAAGGTTTCACGACGCGGAGAGGTTTGGGTCTGGGTCTACGCGATTTTTTCACGACGCAAAAGGAATTACACATACACCGGTACCACTACTCAGAAACTCTCCTGGGATGCGTTCTAACCAGAATCTCAAGGCGAATCCAGCCGGGACGACGAGGCCTCTCCAGGACGAGTAGCGGCAGCGGCATCACTCCCTCCTCCGACGCAGATCGTGTGTGGTTTCCGTTACACAACTCTGCTCCCCGCCGACCGCTCGGGATGATCTGGGCTCCCCCAGAGCGCTCTCAGCTAGGCGCAGCCGCTGGGGAGCATTCCGAGGCAGGAAAACCCAGAACAACCAGCGAAAGCGATCGAAAACCCAAAAAACCAACGAAAAGGTCAGGAAACCCAGAACACGCATAAATATACCAGAAACGTGTTTCAAGACGTCACATGGTCTAGAAAATCAAGACAAAGTGCACATACTCGCTTGAACCACTCCGGCCTGCGAGCCGCAGCCCCTGACCCAGACCGAGGGAAAACACAAGCCTCTGTTGGCCGCGCCTGGCCGCATTCGCAGGCGGGCGCGTGCAAGACGACGACGAGCAGTGCAGATAGCGACAGGAGGAGGAGGAGGAGGAGGAGGAGGAGGAGGAGGAGGAGGAGGAGAAGGAAGAAACGCTCCAATTCCGCTTCTCAAATCTGCCCAACGCTGTAAACAAAGAGGAAACGGAAGAACGCTCCAGCTCCGCTGCCTAATTTTGCCCAACGTATATAACATAAAACAGAGGAGGAGGAGGAGGAGGAGGAGGAGGAGAAGAAGGAAGAAGGAGGAGAAAGAGGAGGAGGACGAGGAGGACGAGGAGGATGAGAAGGAGGAGGCCTGGACCCTTCCCCCCCCTCCCCTCCCCCCCCCCCCCAAGACCAAGTAGCGCTCGCCAGGCGCCGCCGCCACGCTGGCCAGAAGCAGCGCGTGGGCCTCCGCGGTGTCGCGGACGTCCACGGGCCACCAGGGCTGCAGCCGGTGGCTCTGCGGGAAGGGCCGCCCCTCGAGGATCCTGGCGACCGGCGGCGCACACAGGCGCCCTGAGAACGAGGGTCTTCTAATTTGTGAGGGAGCGCGATGTACTACCGTCGCTTAGCTGGGTCAGATTCCCCTGCCCCTCTGGGAAACGGCGGGGGGAGTGACAAATTCCCCCCCCCATTCACCCCCTTCCCTGAGAACTGGGAGCGGACCCCCCCCCCTCCCCGGAAACTGGGGTGGGTGGGGGACGGGGGGTTATGCAGCCTCCCCCCGCCCGGTTCGAACTGGGGGAGGGGGGGGGGATCGAACAGGCTCAAATCGAATCCTGCCTCCAGAGCTGGATCCAGCTCTGATGCAATCCTACGAAATCCGATCGCATTTTTCCTACAAAGGCTAGCTTCGGCTCCACTAGAATCCTGCCAGAGCTGGATCTTGATCGAATGGAATTGTACACAAACTCGATTTCGCTCTCATCGAGCCCCTGCTAATAGGGCTGGATCCAGCTCTAATAGAAACCGACTGGGGCCCAATCGAACTTGAATACCATCCCACTGTGAGCTGAGAGCTGTATCGGGCACTAGTCGGATTCCATTATAATGGGATCCTACGAGTGCCCGATCCAACTTCAATCAGGACTTATCATAATATGGATACAGGTCTAATGTAATATTATGAGGGCTCGTCCCAGCTTGAATACAACCATAACTGGGCTCGATCTAGCTTTAATTCAATCCTAGATCCATCTCTGATAGAATCCTACACGAGAAGAGGTGTGGGGTTCTGAACCTCTACCCGCCGCCCAGTTCGAACTAGAGAGCTCGCTGTTTCCCCCCCCCCCCTGCACCCCACCCGCCGCCCGCTTCGAACGGGGGGGGGAGGGGGGTTTGCCAGTAGCTGCAGAAAGCGCTCGTTCTTAATCATTCACACCGGGCGTTTTCGCCTCGTTGTTCGGGCCCTGGGACCAACATAGATCGATCTGGCCAAAAGAGAAGGGCAGCAAGATGGTGAGGCTTGCTCTGGAGGCCGTGGGGGCCTCCTGGGATACTCTGGGGGGCACCCTGGGCCACAAGCACTTCTAACAACACCCGAATCCACACCGTGTCCCGGACCGCACCGGATCGCTGAATATCGGAATCGAGTCGGAATCGAGTCAGATCGGCGCGAGCGAATCGAGACGGACCCTGTCCTGGCGAGCGTACAGTTCCACGGCGTCCACGCCGCCCTGGCCTCCGCGTGGTGCCTCGAGAGAATCGGGCCTGGCGGGGAAGAACAACGGGGACCACGACCAAGACTGAACGAGGAAACGTCGTGCCGACCTTGGTCACCGTCGACCTTGGCAGACGTCACTTCGCGGGCCGTCCTCGCGGATCGGCGACGGCTGGCATGGACCATGACCAAAATTGGCATCGACAACATCCCGCGGCATCTTGGCCATGGTCCCCGTGTTTCTCCCCTCGGGATCGCGCCGATGTTGTCGGACGGGTTCACGACGAGGGCGTCCCAGCGGCCCCCGCTCCCGGCGGCGGCCTTCGCGAACAGCCGCTCGCACTCCAGCTTGCCGAGGACGTAGCCCATGGAGCGGAAGAGCCAAAAACGGCGCCAGGCGCGAACAGAACCGTTCCCCGCGCCCTGGACCCTCACGACATCGTCTCCATCGGGGAGGGTGCAGAGGCCCCTACTGTGCCCAAACGTCCGCCCCAGGGTCACCGAGATCGGCGCCCGATACAACCGAACGAGCCAGAGTGTGACCAGCATTCGTGGTTCGAGACCAAAGCAATTTTCAATTTCGGCTACAATTCCGGTCCCGCTACGTGTTCGGTCACATTTTCGGGCACCTTCTCGGTCACCGAATTTCTAGGTCACATACCTTCTCGGCTGATGCGCGGCGCACGTCCGCCGCTCACGCCTTGTGTGGCAGCAAGGGGGGGGGGAAAGGGGGAAGGGGTGTGTGACACCACTGCCTGTCCCCCGTCGGCTGTCGGGCTCAGACCTGCTCTGAGTCGCAGCGACTGGGGGCGGGGCAGCGGCTCAGAGGGCAGGGCGCCAGCGCGCGCACCACGCTGTCGACTTTGGGCCAGCGCGCGCACCACGCTGTCGACGCGCGGGGTGCGAAATGCGAAGGAGTCCGACGGAAAATCTGTCGTCGCTTTGGGCCTCTGGGGGCCCTCGCCAGGCCCCCGGGACCGTTGAAAAACGACACTGGGTGAATGGGTTGAATGGGTCGAGACCATGGTCTTGGGGAATGGGTCGAAGAATTTCGTAGGGCTTTCGCAACACCTCTGCCGGGGGCGCCGCTCGTGGACAGCACCTTCGGCTCCACGGACTTCGGACGCATTTTGCGTGGCCAGCGCGGGGGAACGACCCCGAGGCCGCAGGGCAGGCCCAGACTCTACGCCTGGACCAGGCCGTCAAGCCAAATGTTGCACGGACAGCCGTGCTTTGTGACGCAGAACCGCCAGACCGCAGCCGTCCGGCCTTCAGTTGCAGAAAAAACCCACCATGGTGCTGGCCGTTCCTTGCGCATCGCCCTGGCGCTGTTCGGGCGTGAGAAGGCCTGACGCTGAATGCCAGAGTTCTGTTGGTGCCGCAGAGCCCCAGGGACGGAGGGCAGCATCCCCTGCGGGGTGCTGCCAAGCATCGTCAAGGTGCCGACGTGGGCGCGTGCTGAGGTGGAAGGCGCTGTCATGTTCGCGGCATCATTATCGTGACGTGACGCGGGGCAATTACCATCAACCAATATGTGGCATCCAGCCGCTCGAGGAAGCCTCTTGAGGATAATTGGTTCGGGAATTACCATTTTGGCAAGAGCCCCAACGCAAGGCGTCGCTGACCCAAAGCTGCTCGTGATGCGCATCGCGGGCAAAGTCATCTCGTCGAGTTTGACCAAAAGCAGTCTGGTGGCACTCGGACTACCACTCTTTGGGCCTTTCCAATTCAGTGCGGACCAATGAAAAAGCTTACCAAACATGCATATTCTCTCACGCGCAGAGCAGCCACTCGATACACTTGGGTGGCCACTTCCCTGCAGATGTTTGTGGAGTTTGAGTTGATCAGGCTCCTCATCGGGAGGCACATCCAGTGTCAGGTGGCCTCCTTCAGCGTGCACAGGGCGTTCGCACAGATTTCTGGGGTCGGCGCTGGACCCCCCTGCACTGCCGAAGCTGAGGGGGAACCTCAAGGGGGAGGGGGGACAGGCTCAGGGGGAAGCATCCAGCTGGCATCGGCGATACATCGCCGATAGGTCGACGTCAGGCCCCCGACAACGGAAGCGCGCCTTCCTGTCACGGGCGGCGAACGAAGCCGCATCCGCACTGGATCCGTATCCGCACCCTTGCGGTCTGGATTCAGGGGCGCGATCCCTGGGACATGCGGTCGCACGGATGCGTTCCGCGCGGGTCGTCCGCGAAAAAACGCGCCGTATCCGCGGGTTCGCGGACATGTTTTTTTCGCCGACGATCCTGGGCGGGGTGGGCTATCAGGCCCCTGTCTGTGATCGACTGGCGACTGGGGGCTGGTGCACCCCCGCTGAGCCTACAGCTGGACCAAGGCCATAACATCCTTCAAGAGCATGAGACCCTCCGCCGACCAAAACACTTCCAACCAACAGATCACCGAGGGGACCCTTCCCCAGGATGCACGGAAACATACGCCAGACACGAGGATCACCGAGGATACCCTCCCCGAGCCGACCTCAATCTTATACTCAAAACCGAACGTGTCCCCCTCTAACGTTGCCCCCGCAGGGAAGGCTCCGCGCCGGCACGAGAAATCCGCGCGGGCCTCCGTAGGTCTGTGGTCAGCTCTGCATTGCGGTCGGACCAAGCCTAGGACAGACGAACAGCCTTTAAGAACATGAGACATCATGAGACGCTCCGCCCTGCCATCCATTCAAGAGCCTTCTTCGAGAACGTCCAACAAACACGAATAGCATTAGGGTACACTCCCCGAACCGACCTCGATCTTGTACCTCGGTCCGAGCGTGTGCCGCTTTTAGCGCTCTTCGATGGAGTCAAGGTCCTGATTCATCGGGTTGCCCAGGTTCGGCGACCTGCGCTCGTCGATGATCGGCCTCAACTTCAACTCCTGGATGTCCTGGTCGCCCGCGATCGAGGCTGCGCTCGAGGTGTAGATGACTCGCCGCACGGAGCCCGACTCCTCCACGCTGGCGATGATCCCTCGGCTGATCCTGGTGTAGTCCGCCAGGCGCTGCGCGATGGTCGATGATCCTCTGAACGTGCGTTGGCGCCGACGTGTGCTTGCCCTTTCAGCATGATGCGCGTGGCGGAACGAGGGCGCACACAGGCTGCGTGCTGTCGGTGTAGCCGAGCGGGGTAAAGACACATTGGTCACGTACCTTCGTCTGTATCAGGGGAATGCATTGACCGAGACTGCGCCTACATGTGACCGAAATTGTTGATTCGAAGCCAACGTGATTGCCAATTTCCGTTGCACATTCGGCCGCACTACGTTTTCGGTGACAAGTTCGGGCTCGTTTTCGGGCTGTGGACTTGTGCTCGGTCCCAAACCTTTTCGACAGATAATTGGGGGCTGGGCGCCATGCAATTGGACTGACGCACGTCCAACGGATCATCAAAAGGGGCATGTCTGGGTCGGCGGCCGCGTGAACAACCCCCTGGCTCAAGGAACGGAACATGGCATAAAGGTAAACTTTCGGAGGCCTGGGCTGATTTCTTGGATAGGAGGAGCGCGTCAAGGGCAGCGCCGAAGGCGCCGACCAGCGCCGATCGAAGAAGTCAGCGCGGGCCTCCGGAAGTTTATGCCACTTTTCGTTCCTCGGCTGGCAGCCCCGAAACGCCTCGTCGCAGGCCCCCGGCTCACCCAGGTCGCACGAGAGCACCACCAACCGCCGCGCCCCGTGTTCGGGCATCTGCCTGAGGAAGGCCGCCCTCGGGTGGTCTCCGTCGCGCACGCAAGCCCGGACGAGGTGGCCCTTGTCCAAGAGGCGCCGCACAATCCTTCAGGAAGCAACTCCCAGGAGGTCTTTTGCGCGAACAAGTTGAAACTTTGAATCCAAATGTAATGGCCGTCAAAAACAAGGTTGGGCCAAATGCAGCGTGGGATTAAGCCAGACTCACTGGGATTGAGCCGGGTTAAGCGGAATGGCGGCGACTGAGTAGGATTAGGTTGGAATGGTGAGGTGTTCGACTAATTACGGTTGTATCAGCGCCGATGCCGAATTAAAATTAGAGGGAGTTGCATCCTGAAATCCTGGACGAGAAAACAATCGGCACTGGAATTGGATGTTCAGGACCCCCCTGGCAGGTTCTCCGAAGTGCTACGCTCGTGCAGGTGTATCCTCGTTTGGAGGCGTCTTAGGTGGGATCCGAGTAGATGGGGTCGGAGGATCGCGCCGCATCACCGATGCATCGCCGACATCGGCGGTGCATCGGCGACGTCGGCGTGGAGGTTCTCAGGCTCCACCTCGAGCCGCATCGCTGATGTATCGGCGATGCGGCGCGACCCTCCGGCCACACCTACGGCGGGTTCGTGTCGTGACGGCGTTAGTTTCTGTCTGACACCGCGGAGGTCGTTCAACCCTGAACGATCGGCCGTTTCCGAAACGTCAGATCCTTCAGCATCGACCGATCCTGGGTCGGCGGCAGCGCTCAACGTTGTACGCTGGCGGCGGGGTCGCCGCTGGTCGACACGACGCGAACCTACCGTACTACGACCCCACCTGGGAGACCTGGATCATCGAGGTCCAGCCGCCAACAAAGCCGGCGGCCCCGGTCACGGCCACGGCCGCATCGCCGTCGATGGGCGCCATCGGACTTCGGCCCAGGGCACGCTCGGGCGCGAGGCTCGACGAAAGGGCCAACTGCGGAGCGGCTCGGGACTGAGACCCTCTCGAGTCATGCGAAAATCACGACGGACAATTTGTCGCTGCTGTCGGCCTCTGGAGACCCTTACCGAGCCTCGGGACCGTCAACAAATGATCAGGATAAAGGACCAGGTCCCGGGGAATGGGTCGAGACCTCTGGGGGTCGACGCCATGAACAAAATCTTGACGTCGAGGGTCTGGGGGGGGTGCTCACGTGTGCCCCCCCCCCCCCCCCCCCGGTATGGATGTGCCCCTCAGGCCCCTCTTACTACACCCACCTCGCCTCGCCGGCGAAAAAATGGTGGGTCCTCCACCCACCTCCTCGTTATTTTCCCCGAGCGCCGACCACGCCGACGCCAACGTCGACGACGACGGCGGCGGCGACAGATAATTATGTGCTCGAGGGTTGATCCATGCCCCTACCCACGTCCCAACAGCCATTCCCGCAAGGGGCCAAAGTAGGATCATGAGTAAACGCCTAGCCTCCGGAGAGGCTGGGCGGTTTGATCCATGCCCTCCCCCCCAGAAGCGTTGAGAGTTGGAGGCAGCCTGAGGGTCCCATATCAAGCTTCGACCGCCGAAGAAGGACGACGACGCCAATGGCGGTGACCACGACGACGGCGATGGCGGCAACGACGACGACGACGACGGAAGCGACACGATATAGTCCTGGTAGGAAGGAGGTCTTGGGCAGTGGGGCTCTGCGTACTAAGACCAGCTCTTTCTCTCCAACCACCGTGTTCCCTGCCCTTTCCATGGGGTGGGAGCACACGCGCCCTCCTGCAACCCGGGCCCATTTTCGATGCGGTCGACAATGACACGAAGACCCTGAACAGCCTGCTAGGCCACGACGGGCCACCGATTGCAAGGGCCCCAGCTGGGGTGGGGGGGGGGGGCACG